TTTTGGAGGAGGAGCAGCTCCTGGAGGGGCGCTACCGGCTGCAGCAGGTGCCCGGGGGCCGTGTGGCCTTGCCCGTGCTGGAGGAGAAGCTCGACCAGCTGCAGCTGCCCCTGGAAATGCCTTGTGAGCTGCTCTGGATCAAGGTTGGGAGAGACCCCTCACTCTGAGCCCTGCTGCGGGACAGAGGGGTCTCAGCCCCACATGGCACATCCCTTCCCCAGGACCCTGCCCCCTCCAGGGCAGCCCGCTGGAGGACGCCTGCCCAGAAGCTGCAGGACGCGCTGAGGCAGCTGCTGGGGCAGAGCTGGTCGGAGGAGCTGGAGCGTGATGTGCCCCGGGCCTGGCAGCGGCATGGGGACCTGGTCCTGCTGGGCGGGGACAGCTTCAGGGCTGAGACCTGGGAGAGACTGGGTAAGGGGGTCCTTCTGCCCCAGTCCTGCCCACAGGGCTGCCCTGGCCTTTCCCAAAGCTCCCGGGATGGGTGCATTGCAGGCCCAGCACTCTGGGAGACTGTTGCCTCGGCTCTGGGTGCCCGGCGGCTGGCCAGGCGAGGACGGGTGTTGCCAGATGAGATGAGGTCTCCCAGTGTCACCCTGCTGCTGGGCCAGGATGGCTGGGTGGAGCACGTGGACAATGGGATCAGGTAGGCAGGGGCCAGAGGTGCTGGATGTGATCAGCACAGGAAACGGGGCTGCCCTTACCGGGCTGGTGATGTCTCCTAGGTACACGTTTGATGTGACTAAGTGCATGTTCTCACCGGGCAACATCACTGAGAAGCTGCGGGTGGCCTCGCTGCCCTGCGCCGGGGAGGTCCTGGTGGATCTCTATGCAGGTAACAGGGATGGCAGAGGGGTTTGGTGGGGCAGGCAGAGCAGTGGTGCAGGTACTGCTGGCATCCAGGTGGATGTGAAATGTCATTTTCAGCCCATTCTGGACAAATACCCAGGTGTAGAGCTCCTGCCCCATCTCTGAGCCCTCAGGTAACCTGACACTGCTGTCCCTCCTGTGTCCTCATTGCCTTTGGACGCTCAGGGTGACCTTGCTCTGCAGAGCAGTGCTCTGTACCTAGAGTTGGTTATGGGAATCATTTGGATCTGGGAAAAAGGTTTCCCCTAAATATTGTTTCCAAAAAGCTCCTCATGGATGTCCTGAGCCTGTGCTCTGAGGACAAGCTGATGCTAACTGAAGCCCTCCTGTGCTGTGAGGTGACTGGGGAGATCACACCAGGCATCTGTGTGTCTGGAGAGCCACTGTTTTGTGTTTAGGGAAGTTAGTGCTTCCAGTTCGTGCCAGACAGAAAGGCTGTGGCACTTGCAAAACTGCTCTGGATGAATTAAAATGAATGGCAATCTGGGCACCTCTGCATAGAGTGGAAGCAGAGCAGGGCAGGTCTCAAGCTAGTGGCCAAAGACTAAAGGTAAAATAAGCTCCTCTGTAAACGTTTTTCAATGCTTTTGCAGAGGACAGAGGGATGAATTTCCATGTTCCCAGCGTCTGGGCTTGTTCGGAACCAGAGCAAAGCAGATTCAGGGATCTGGGGTGGCAATTCCCTTCCTGCCTGCCCCGCCTCCGGGGAGGAGCGCAGACCCCGGCGGTGCAGGCCCTGCCCTCAGCTGCTGCCCTCCTTCCTGCCCTCAGGTATCGGCTATTTCACGCTGCCCTACCTGGTTCACGCCGCCGCCGCCTTCGCCCACGCCTGCGAGTGGAACGGCCACGCCGTGGAGGCCCTGCGGAGGAACCTGGCGCTGAACGGCGTGCGGGACCGCTGCCGCATCCACCGCGGGGACTGCCGGCGGGTGAGCGCTGCTGCTGCTCGTGGACCCCCAGCCCTGCCTGGCATCTCCCCCCCGCTCACCTCCCTTCTCCTTCCAGCTGGAGCTGCGGGATGTAGCGGACAGGGTGAACCTGGGGCTGATTCCCAGCTCGGAGGAAGGCTGGCCGGTTGCCTGCCGCGTCCTGAAGAAGGGCACAGGTGGGGTTCTCCACATCCACCACAACGTGGAGACTCTCCCTGCTCAGACCCCTGTCCTGCCGGCTAAGCAGGGGTCTCCAGAGGGAGCCAACTCTGATGGAGAGGTGCAGCCCCCAGCGAAGGACAGTGGGAAGGAGATGCTGGGGGCCAGGATCAGACCCGAGTGGCAGAGGTGGGCTGAAGCCACGGCGGCACGGATCCGGGGGCTGCTGGCAGAGCTGCACGGGCAGCCGTGGTGCACCAGCATCCTGCACATCGAGGTGGTGAAGTCCTATGCACCCCACGTGCATCACCTCGTGCTGGACCTCGAGTGCCGGCCCGTGTTGCCCACCTAGCTGGCCTTGGGCCCCAGCGTGGCTCCCAGCTCATGTGAAAGGCTGGTGTTGGGGCACTGGTGCCCAGGGGATGCTGCCAATGCCTGCTGGCAGCCTGGATGCACTTTGCATCCCCTTGTTTCTGGGTGACTGCACGGCCCAGCAGTACCTCTCCATGCCTAGGGCACCGAGGGATGCTGTTCCACCAGATATCCCTCCAGGAGCTGGCCTAGGATGGAGTGAGCTGGAGCAGAGAGCTCCCTGAGTTCTGCCCTGGCTCTGCCTGTCACTGCTCAGCCCCATTTTCACACAGGGCTGAATAAGTGTCATGTTCCTGCTGGGCTGCTTTTCAGCAAGTTCAGGGCAGCCTTGTGCTTTTTTATTGTACTGGAAACATACCTGTTCTTCTCGGTTTCTTCTCATCTTTTTTACATAAATGACATTTCCTACCTCTCTGGTTGATGTCCAGTTAAAACACAAACACTGGTGCAAGTGTGGGCGTCCTTCCTGGGGATATGGGGTCCCTGGGCAGTGTGTGGAGGGGCTCAGGGAGCAAAGCCTCTGCCCATGAAGGAGAAAGGCAGAGGCTGGAGCCTTGTGGTGGGGCCACCCGCTGCTCTGGGTAGGGCTGGAGGACACCCTGACTGTGCTGCTCGGGTTTTGGCCTGCGGCCCTCTGCTGGGCACCCCAGGGACCCCGGGAGGGCACCGCAGCTGTGCGGGTGGCTGTTGACTCTGTGCCGACGTGAGTGTGCTCTCGGGGAGGAGCTGCCCAGGGAAGCTGTGGAGGCCCCATCCCTGGAAGTATCCAAGGCCAGACTGGATGGGGCTTGGAGCAACCTGGTTTAGTGGGAGGTGTCCTTGTCCATGCCAGGGGCTTTGGAAATAGATTATCTTTTAAGATCCCTTCCAACCCAAACCAGTCTGTGATGCTGTGAGAGGGCGGGCACCGCGTCCCGCCCGGGCCGCCCCGTCGGTGCCGGAGGTGCTGCAGGCGCGGCCCCTTTAAGGAGGCGGTACCGCCCTCGCTCCCCCCTCCGCTGCTGCCGGGAGGCGCCGGGGGAGGCCGCGGCGGGCACCGGGGGGGCCCC